TAACAATAATAATGATAATAGAAAAACTTTTTAAATTCAAAACCCTTTTTAATTTTTATAAAAAATAAATATAACACACTCTACGGTTAAAAAAAATATTTTAAAAAATTCAGTTAGTTACGTAATAATTATTTTTCCATATTGTCGTCTGCTATATTAATAAAAACAATAAAAAAAAACATAGAACAATACGAAACAAGTTGGTTCTAACAAATGAAATAATGATTTTTTACTTTTTTCTTACGTCATCAAATATTATAAGTTTACTGCCACGTACAAAGTTTTTTTTTCCGATTTCATTTTTAATTTAAAATTCATTTATTAAAAAAAAAAAAATTATTAATTATTAAAAATTATTAAAACCGTTAATATTTTTTACGAGAGTAGTAAATTAATTAATATTTTATTTATTATTATTATTTACAATCGGTGTGTGTGTTTATTCAAATTCCTTTCTTTTCCGTTCAAAAACACAATAATGTAACAATAAAAATGATAATAATAATAATAATTATAATTAATAATATTAATTAATAATAATTATTGATTTTTTATTACGAATATATAAAGAACGGAGTTTAAAAAAAAAAAAAAATTGAGAATCGGTAATCAGTTTTTAAATCGTGATTTACCTTTCATCAAATTATTATTTATTACTTTTAATTTATTAGTTTGTATGGTGACGGTTGGCGTGTTCTAGTGACACGTAATCACCATTGAATAATGTTTATTAAAAAATGTCAGGCGTGTCCGCAGATAACGACCTAAATATTAAACGATACCCCTAAAAATAAATAAGCTTAATTTTTTTTTTTTTTCCGCGGTTGTTTTACGTTACCCGAGTAATATTTTTATGTTAACGGTTTTAACCATTTTCTGTTGGTACCTCTGCTGTTTAAATGTTAACTTCAAAACAAGAAATATCAATTTCAATTTAAAATTAAAATCATCATCATCGACAAGCGTGCCAACTTAAATCACGTAAAAATATAAAAATTAAATTTGTATAAGGCTCTAACATAATTTAATTTCGTTTAATTATTATTATTATTTCTAAAAATAAATTTTCGGATGTTTAATGCCACGTTAAAATAAAACTTTTGGAAAACTCTCCCTTTCATTGAGCCCACGTACTTTCCATTTTCTTTAAAAAAAACAAATTTCACCTTCTAAAAAAGCAAAAGGTAACGACCATATAAGGAATGAAAAATATTCATTGTTTATATAGCAATACTTTATCGATAATATCGATCGATCGATCGATCTATTTGATTCTATTTAAAAATACGTTTTTAAAATTTTTTTTACATATTTTTGTAGAAAATGACGGAAGGTACCGACAACACGAGGAAGTAGCCAAAATAATCATCCGGTCTTTACGTTTGAAAAAAAAAAAAAGAAAAAAAAAATTTAATAACAAAATGGCGGTTAATGCGAATCCATCCACATTCAAGACTATCGTTTCTAGTGGTAGGGGAATATATAAAACTCTTTCGTTTTCTTATCACAAGTTTAAGTTTGTTAAACACCGCGAGGAACGGAGGATTTTGTCCTCGACCTTCGAGGATCGGTCATGTTACCTTCGCGAAACATTCTGGTTAGTATTTTTATTATTATTATTATTTGTTTTTCTTTTTTTTTATTATTACCGTAATATTAATTAACTTTTACTCTCGTAAATTTCACGTGCCTAAATTTAATACGTAGTGGAAGGAAACAAAAATTTTCATTCGATTTAAAACGTTAAAACATCTCGAATTTTCTTTTTTTTTTTGCTGCGGTTTATAATCAAATTGAATTGTTTTGCTACGGTTTAGAATTAATTTGAATTAATTTTTCGGTCGTTTAATTTTTTTTTTTTAATAAATTATAAATTGTAAACGTTTTGCTAAACGTGAGAACTTATTTTAAAAAATCAAATTTGTTTTTTTTTTTTTTAAATGACGTCATCGATATATTTTCAACGGTTTTAGAAGAGGATAATCGATTTATTATCATTATCATTATTATACCGGTAGTAATTTATTTTACGTTTAAAAAAAAAAAAAAAATTCATCCGTTTCCTATTATTATTATTATTATAGAAAGTGAAATGGGTCAAAATTTGACCGGCGAAAGTCATTTACATTGTTGTTTAGGCAACTTATAATAATAATAATAATAATTTTCTTTAAAAAAACAGGATTTTTAACCTCTGGGCTATCAAAAGTTGTTTTTTTATTTTCTTTTATTTTATTTTATTTTTAAATTTTCGCAAATTTTTTTCGCGCTTTTTTTAAAAATTTAAATTTATTATCGATCCATTATTATTATTATTGAAAACGTTAATTGAAAATTATTTAAGAAGAAAAACCGATAGAAAACTTTTCGAAATTCAGTCGAATCGTAAAAAAAAAAAAAAAAAAAATTACTGTTTGTATAAAGTCGGGTACCGGTGACTGGTTGTTATATAACAAACACGATTGATGTTTCCCCGAAGTGATAACAAACAACAACTTGATATTAAACTTGACTTTAGGAAGTGTATTTTTTGAATGGATTTCCCAATACGAATAGTTTAGAATGAAACTTTCACGTGTGAAAAAAAATTTGAAAAGAGGAAAAAAAAAAAAATAAAAGAAAATTAACAACGTGACACTACAACAACAACAAGCAAACAAACGTTTTGTTTGTTATATCAAATGAAAGTTTATTATAATTTTCACGAAATATTATCGGAAACATATAAAACAATACGTTCGAGACAAAAAAAAAAAAAAAGTGTTGAAAACTCGATGAAATTTGTAATTTATTAATTAAATGAATGACGTCATCGTAGTAAAAATTTATTAATGATGACTTCGAAATGTGACGTCAAATATAATTTTTCAATCATCTGGTGAAAGTTTAAATTTTTTTTTCTTCGAATAATTTTTCTATTTAATTTTTCAAAACAAACGAGAAACAAACGGGGAAAAAAATTGTTTTTTTTTTTCGCAACTTTTTTTTTTTTTCTTATGTTCTCACCCTAATTTTCATTTATTATTATTATTTTCTTTTTTATATTTCGAATAGTTTCGTGAGAATTTATTTAAATAGTTTTTAATAAAAAAGACCGAAATGAGAAAATTTACCAACAATTAAGTCATATCCTATTATTATTATTTATAATATTTCTTTTAACCGGTTTTGGCGCCAAAACGACACTAACTGAAACTTAATTTTTTAATAAAATTGTTTATAAATTAACAAATAATAATAATAATAATGAGATTTTTCGCACAGGAAAAAAATGATAAATAATAATTAGAAATTTTTTTTTTTTGTCGCAACTTTTTTTTTGTTGCGACTTATCGACCGTCGACATTTTTATATAAAACGATTCGTAAAATTTCATAATTTGCTACGGTTCATATAAACATTTTTTATTTTCTTTTTCTAGAACAATTTCATTTCGAACGTGTAATAAGACAAAATGATAAACGTTTTATTATTGAAATGTTTTTTTTTTTTGTTTGCATCAGTTCATTAATCTTGCGTGACTTAAAAAAAAAAACTTTTCAATGGCGGAAATTTTCTTTTCCCCCCCTCCCCCCCGATTATTATTATTATTATTATTATTATTATTAAGGAAACTGAAATTTTATTATTATTATTATTATAAACAATCCGACTTTTTGGCATTTCCTATTAATGTTATATAACAAACGGTTGTTGTTGTTGTTGTTGTCGTAGAGAGCGGATGAGTCTTGCGACATTTTTTTTTTTTTTTTTTTTAAATTTACTATCATTATCAATCCAGTTTTTATTATTATTATTATTATTATTATTAATAAACGAGTTGAACTTCCTCGTGTTCGTTAAAAAAAACTATTATTATTATTATTATTATTATTATTATTAACGAGTTCGTTTATATATATGGAATTTAATTTGATACGATTAATTTTTTTATAACGATTGATTGACAAAACTTGGAAACAATTTTTTTTTTTTTTTTGGTTTTATAGCGAAAATATTTTTAACGTACACGAATTGATTTTATCGCGGTAAAAGTTACTTTCATAATTACGTAATTAAAAATTTTTTTTACGATAATAATGACGAAATTAGTTTTTCGAAAAAAAAAAAAAAAAAATTAAAATTTTTTTACTTACTTACTCGAACTCGTGTCCAGATTTGATTTGAAACAATTCACACAAACTTTTTTTTTTTTTTTTAATTTATCACATTGAACAAAAATCACTTAAACATAATTACATTACACTATTTAATAAAAAAATTTTCACAGAGATAAAAAAACTACTACCACTACTACTACTTTTTTTTTTATCACGATTTTACATAAACTTTTCACTTAATTAAACTACACATCACATCCGCGCGATATACGTACGTTCCCGCGTAAAAACCGTACGATAATTTTTTTTACGGTAATTCGACAACGATTTCAACTTCCGGTTTTTAAAACGATAAAAAAATCGATCGCGAACGGATTTTTCCGGAAACCTATTTGAAAAAAACATATCATTAATTAAACTACACATCACATCCGCGCGATATACGTACGTTCCCGCGTAAAAACCGAACAATAATTTTTTTTACGGTAATTCGACAACGATTTCAACTTCCGGTTTTTAAAACGATAAAAAATCGATCGCGAACGGATTTTTCCGGAAACCTATTAGAAAAAAATATATCATTATTATCACTATTATACGTACGTTCCCGCGTAAAAACCGAACGATAACTTTTTTTACGGTAATTCGACAACGATTTAAACTTCCGGTTTTTAAAATGATAAAAAATCGATCGCGAACGGATTTTTCCGGAAACCTATTTGAAAAAAATATATTATTATTATCATAATTTTTTTTTTAGTTATTACGTAAAAGTTCGTTAACGTTTTGAATTCCCAGACAAATTCCCTTATATGTGGCTCTCCGTCGTTATTACTACTACTATTATTATCATTATTATCATTTTCGCAACAACAAAAAAAAAATTCTTAAATTTCGGTAATGTTCCAAACCATTGTCATAGAGTTATCTAATATATTACCTACGCCAAACGTAAAATGAAATTTTTTAAATAATAATAATAATAATACTAATAATCTTTTTTTTTTGTTTCATAAATGAAAATATTAATTAATTAAATTATTTTACGTGCGTGTATAATGACAAAGGTGAAAGCGAAAGGTAAGTGTGTGCGTGCGTGTGCGTAAGTGCGTGAGCGTACATTTTCCATTTCGATTTGAAAAAAAAAAAAGTCTTGTTTCTTTATTTAAAATTTTCTTTTTTTTTTTTTTATTGTATACGATCGCCTGCTGCCTACGTTTGTTTGTTTGTTTGTTTGTTTGCTTGTTTTAGGTTCGTAACAATAATTGTCAGCTTTCTAATGTTACAACTATTTTTCAAACTCTTGAATTAATAATTATTTAATATATATAAATAAATAAAATTATTAATTAAGTCTCGTTATTATATTTTATCATCTAATTAAGTTTCACCGTCGTTTGTTTGATGTTTGTCGATAATTTTTTTTTTGTAATTAAGTAATTAATAGTTAAAGATTAGTAATATGTCCTTTTTTTAAATTGTTTCAGATTGTTTATTGTCTGGTCATCGGTGGAATAGTTTTAGTAAAAGCTTCAGATAATTCAGCATCGCGTACAGTACATTTTCCAGATACTAAAATCATAAACAATTCTCCAGCACGTGAATTAGTATTATCGAATTCGAAATCCTACAATGAAAAATCAGTAGTAGATAAAAGAGTCGGTTACGAACACGAACATCATGACGGTTACTGGAAGAAAAAATTAATATGGAAACCGGATTGGATAAAAATATGGAAACCGGGTACGAAAAAAGTTTGGAAAACGACATGGAAACAATTTTATAAACCTTATTGGATACCGACTAAAAAACCCGTTTGGAAACCTATATCCGTCCCCGATTGGAAACAAACGTGGAAACCTATTTGGACAACGATTGAAGTACCAGCTTGGAAAGACGTACCAGTGCCGGATTGGAAGAAAATATGGAAACCGGTTTGGGTTCCCGTGAAAGTCCCCTCTTGGAAAGAAGTTCCGGTACCCGAATGGAAAAAATATTATAAACCCGTGTGGAAGCACATTGAAGTAAAAGTTTGGAAACCCGTTTACGTCCCTTACTGGAAACAATACTGGACTCCGAAATGGATAAAAGTTCCGATTCCAGGCTCTGCAACCGTAGATAAAGGACACGATTATGAAATAATCGCTCACGATTTGTGGAAAAAAAAACTCGTGTGGAAACCCGTTTGGAAAAAATATTGGAAAACAGTACAGAAAGAATTTTGGGTACCTGATAAAAAATTAGTTTGGAAACAAGCATGGAAACAAGTTTGGAGAACGGTTAAAAAAGAAACATGGGCGTGGAGTAAAAAATTAGTTTGGAAAACGGGTTGGAAAAAAGTATGGAAATACGTGCCGAAAAAAATTTGGATACCTAAAAAAAAATTAGATTGGAAACCGGCATGGAAAAAAATTTGGAGAACAAGTCAGAAATTAGTTTGGGTACCTGATAAAAAACTAGCGTGGAAACCATACTGGAAACCCGTACCATATCCAACCTGGAAAAAAATTTGGGTCCCCGGTTGGAAAAAAGTTTGGAAACCTGTTTGGATATCCGAATGGATCATCGTTCAACATGACCATCATCCTCCAGAACATGATTGGAAACGTAACGGCAGAGTTTTCAACCAAAATCAAAACTGGAATGGAAATTCAAACGTTCCAGAATTCAAAGCTTTACCAGATTCCCAAAGACGTATTTATTCTCGTACTCAGACGCAAAATTTAAATTCTAATTATGGCAGAGGAATACGTTTTGATGTCAATTACTCTACAAATAAAAATAACGGTCAAAATATTCAAAAAAGTTGGAGTTTTCCATCACAATGAAAGTCAATCAATCAATCAATAAAAAAATGGATAATTAATGAGAGAAATTTAATTTTCTACGACTGAATATAAATAATGTAACGTCTGCAATTATAATTGCAGATACTTACAACGAAACGATGATGATTTATATTCGTTTAAAATCAAACAGAACAAAATTTTTATTTAATCTTAATAATCCCATCCGCCATTACAAGATTTATGCATTAGCAGCATCTATGAAATTTTCAACCTGGGAGGGTTGTTTCTTGAAAGTGCTTGCTCCAAAATGAGATGAGAATAAGAATCTTTGTGCTGTAAAGTTTAATAATAATGATAATATTTTACTTTACAATGTTCAAATACTCAATTATGTACATATATATGTAAAAGCTTTGAGCTGATTATCTATACCCATAGACTTATATATATTAACAACCGTTTCGATGCCAAAAAAAATTAAAATTATAACCTATCACGGTCATAATAGCATAATTGTGTGCAATAATATAAATATAAATAAATATATTTATGCGTTACATATAAATATACTTATTTAATTTATTATATTTTATAAAAAAATTCAAATAATGTCAATTTCGTGTTTGGCGTTCTTTTGTCACTCTATCAAATTTAAGAAAAACTTTTGTTTGCGATTTTTTTAGTTTAACCATTGAAAAACTTATTAAAACCACACGAAATTAAACTTACTGAGTTTTGTAAAACACAAATAAATATTTTTATAAACGTAAGTAACAATTAAATAAAATAATATTTGAAAAAATCAAAAGCAAAATTTTTTTTACCTTGATGGAAAGTTCTAGAACAAATTCAAATTTCTATTACAGCGCTCCCAAGCGACGTTTTTTAAAACTAATGGTTCCGAAAAAATCTGCAAATTCAAATTTAACGATTTGTGCAATAATATAAGTATAAATGAATATATTTATGCGTTACATATAAATATATTTATGCGTTATATATAAATATATTTATTTAATTTATTATATTTTATAAGAATTGTTTTATAATTATGTCAATTTCGTGTTTGACGTTCTTTTGTCGCTGTATCAAATTCAAAAAAAATTTTTGTTATCGATTTTTTTGGTTTAACCATTGAAAAACTTATCAAAACCACACGAAATTAAACTTACTGAATTTTTTAAAATACAAATAAACTTTTTTATAAACGAAAATAACAATGAAATAAAATAAAATTTGAAAAAATAGAAGTATAAAATTTTTTTTACCTTGATGGAAAGTTCTAGAACAAATTCAAATTTATAATACAGCGCTCTCAAGCGACGTTTTTTAAAACTAATAGTTCCGAAAAAATCCGCAAATTCAAATTTAACGACTTTTTCTTTTTTTAAAAAAACAAAAGGCATACGAACATAACACGAAATTAAACTTACTGACTTTTGTTAAATACAAATAAACATTTTTATAAACGAAAATAACAATTAAATAAAATAAAATTTGAAAAAAATGAAATATAAAATTTTTTTTACCTTGATGGAAAGTTCTAGAACAAATTCAAATTTCTATTACAGCGCTCCCAAGCGACGTTTTTTAAAACTAATGATTCCGAAAAAATCTGCAAATTCAAAAATTTAACGATTTGTGCAATAATATAAGTACAAATGAATATATTTAGGCGTTACATATAAATATATTTATTTAATTTATTATATTTTATAAGAATTGTTTTATAATTATGTCAATTTCGTGTTTGACGTTCTTTTGTCACTCTATCAAATGTAAAAAAATTTTTGTTTGCGATTTTTTTGGTTTAACCATTGAAAAACTTATCAAAACCTCACGAAATTAAACTTACTGAGTTTTGTAAAATACAAATAAACATTTTTATAAACGTAAATAACAATTAAATAAAATAAAATTTGCAAAAATCAAAAGGACCTTACCTTGAAGGAAAGTTCTGGAACAAATTCAAATTTCTGTTACAGCGCTTCAAGCGACGTTTTTTAAAACTAATAGTTCCGAAAAAATCCGTAAATTCAAATTTAACGACTTTTTCTTTTTTTTAAAAAAAAACAAAACGCATACGAACATAACACGAAATTAAACTTACTGACTTTTGTAAAATACAAATAAACATTTTTGTAAACGTAAATAACAATTAAATAAAATAAAATTTGTAAAAATAGAAATATAAAATTTTTTTTACCTTGATGAAAAGTTCTAGAACAAATTCGAATTTCTATTACAGCGCTCTCAAGCGACGTTTTTTAAAACTAATAGTTCCGAAAAAATCCGCAAATTCAAATTTAACGATTTTTTCCTTTTTTAAAAAAACAAAACGCATACCTTAACTTGCGGGAAAAATGTCCGATGGTGATTTGATTTGTAATTTTAAAAAGTGTAGAAAAATATTAACTGGAACGGCTTATATCACACGATGCTCGCATGCATTTTGCGAAGAAGACGGTTTGAGACAAATAGAAAATCAAAATTACGATAAAAAATGTCCCGCGTGTCAATCGCCTTTGGTTAAAAATTACGATTTGGTTAAAGTTACATTAAATCCAAACGATCAATTTAAATCGGTAAAAAATGAATTTTTTCTCGATCTGAAAACCTATAAAAGTTTTAAATGAAATCTCCGATCCCCTTAATTAAAAATAAATAATTAATTTTTATTTAATCAGATGGTGTTAGCTGGTTTGAGACCTGAAATTGTAATGGATGTCGCAACGAGAGCCATCATGTTTTGGAATTATCAACAGCATCAGGAACAATTACATCTTTCAATGGTTACAAAAAGCTTAAAAGAATTCATAAGTCAAACAAAATCGGATTCCGAAGTCGAAGTGACTTTCTTAAAAACTGAAATTAATAACATGAAAAAAAAACAAGAAGGTTTTTACATAAACGACACAAAAAAAATTCAAACTAACAAAATTCATTTAAAAATAAATATTTTGTAAAATAAAATAATTTTTCAGATTTGGAAAAAGACATGAAAAAATACATACAAAAATGTAACGAATTATCCGAAAAAATAACGCAAAAAAATAGAGAAATACAAAAATGGCAGGCGAGTACATATCGAGTAATCGTTTTGACGACAAATTCAAAATGGCGTACAAAAGTAAAATAATTTTTCTTTTTTTTTTTTTGTTCAACAAACAGATGACGTGTGAATCCCTAAAAAGAAAAGAATTATTATCGGCTACATTACAACAAAACGAAACAAATAAAGCTTTTCGAAATAATCCTCCTATGGCTTTTGAAATCGGACCTCAAAGCGTCGACGATTTAATTAAAGGAAGACGAGTAAAATTACAATCGAACGTCCATAAAGACGGAGAAACGAAAAAAAATTTTTTTAATAATGATTTTCTTTTTAACGACAATTTCATTTTTCAACCGAGAGCCATGAATTCATCATCATCATCTTGTTCGCCTAAAAATATTTTTCGTACCGGCGAAAATTTTCTATTTCCAAATCTTAAAAAAATTTAAATAAATATGTATAAATAAATAAATATATATGTGTATTTTTTTTCTTTAAGCTTACATAAAATTCCCTTACCGTTAATTAAAATAAATAAATATATGTATTATTATTATTATAACACGTGGTTATTAAATTTACGTCACAGCCAAGGGTTTTATTTTAAATTCTTTATATATGTCTTCGAGTTTTTGATCCCATCGTTTTTCGAAATACATATTCATAAGAAATTCGCTTCCGTATCCGGTTTCAATGGCCCAAGGAAGATACGAATTAATAAATTTTTTCCTTTGCCTGAAAAAAATCAAAATATATTATCTTTTCTCTAGAACGAACAAACAAATGGAAAAACATTTAAAAAAAATTTTTTTTTCTTTTAACTATTATTCTAAATAAAATTTATTAACTTTTTCTAACGTATAAAATTTAAAGCGGAAACGATAAAAAAATGTTCTTATTCATCCTTTTCTTCGTAATTTTCTTCATTTAATTTTTCCTCTTCAATAAAATCAAAGGATATTCCTTCGGGAATCAAATCGCCCCATTTTGAATGTTTTAAACATTTGTACGCGGAACTTCCATGTTGATTTTTCGTCGACACCAAAGTTTTCAACTGTCCCTTCGACGTGCAAACATTACAAACGACGTGATTTCGTCTCAGTAAAACTTCTTTAACTATTCTGGGAGATCGATTTTCCATAGGCGAATCCTCTCCTTTTTTAAATATTAAAAAAGAAAATTTATGATTTTCCGTGGAATTCCTATATTTGTACACGTTCAAATGTTTGTATTTGATTGAAAAATTACACGGTATCGATTTTTCCGTTGCTTCGAATCTCGGACACGTTAATTCGTGAGGACAAGGAGCGAATATGTAACATTTGACGTTGAATTTTTCGCTTATTTCCAATATAAATGTTCTTGCTTCGTTTAATAAACTGTAACCGGCAAAAGAACCGTTTTCAATTAAAACTAAATATTCCAAAGTATTGTTCCAAAGTGTCGTTAAAAGTTTTAAACGTTCCAAACAACTGCTCGATTCGAAAAGTGAAAAAGAACTGACAACAATGTCCGAGGGTATGCACGTCGCTGGTAAAAACTGACGATAGTAGACATTTTTTATCATGGGTAATGAATATGGATCGTTGTTTTGAAGTACGAGCTCAGCCAACTTGTGCATTTCCATGGATGAATCCACGCAATAATATTCTTTCATGGATTCTTTCCAGTATTCGTTTGCGGCCCAAACGGTAGTTCCAACGCCGGATCCAAAATCGAAAAGTCTTTTCGGAGCAAAATTTTTATCTCTCAAATAAATTTCGTTGAAAACTCTGCATAAAACTCCAAATTCTGCCGGGGATCTCATTACCAAATACTGGAGAGCTAAATTTTTATTGTAAGTTATAGGTTTCCAATTGTACAATTGATTTTTTAATATTTTCTTCGCATATTTCGTTATGACATCATTACTCAACGTTTGAAAATTTGTATTGTTTTTCATCGAATCAATTATTTCTTCTTTTTTTTTCCTTTTTTCACTTTTTTCAGGCGGTGGAAGTCTCTGTGTTAAATACCTTGATAAAATTTCACCATCCGATACCAATGTCTTAACATCTTTTTTTTCCAAAACTGAATATATCCCTTTTAAAATGGGTTCTGGAATTGATGTGCATTTTAAACTCATTATTCCAGAATGTTTTTTTGAATTGCTATAATTTTCCTTTATTTTTTCATCAAATGCTGAATCTATATTACAAGTCACTTTAGTCGAATATGATCTTGTGAACCTACAAGTCATTGTATCATTATGTTACTCCTTTTATTATTCAATCGATTTCATTCGATATTAATATAACAATAAACCATTTTCAAGTATTGAATAACATTAGTAAAATTCACCAGGAATTTAAATAAATTCATAAATTTCAAGAAAATGAAAAAATACTATGCAATTCATTTAAAATATCGATAATGTTATTAATTTATTATTATTTAAGTTACCTCTTGTACTTACTTAGGTGCAAGTCTGACTGACCCAAATAAAGCTCCTGTAGCACACATTGGTAATTTTGTTTGAATGGCTTCAACCCATTTAACAGTAACTTCACCTAACATGTTTGTCGGCATATTGAGCAATGTGTGAAACAAATCATGAGCTTCTCTGTACCTTTGTGCAACATATGCTAATTCTATATCGTCTACAAATCTAACTGCTGGTCTTGCATCAGGACTGTATCCCTATAGTAAAATATAAAAAAGAAATGTTAAACTGATATAGACACACACACACACACACACAAAAATGAAAAGTAAAAAGCAAATTTTAAAACGATAACTCCAATATATACATAAAAACTAACATATTTTTCTAGAAAATTGCTATATGCTTTTCCTAAAGTTCCTTCTGGATAATTTTTTAATTTTACTAAATCAACAGAGCCAGAACTGATTCTAGGTTTTTCTTCTAATATATTTTTTCCCTCTTCGGATTCGCACATTTTTTCCCTTATGTATTCCAATGCTTTGGGACCGGTTATTTCTCCCATAACGGCCACCATATCTCCACGATTCGGACTTGCTAATGATATCGCGCCAGAACCCAAACCCAGGAGACATTTTTGAAAGAGAGTCGTTTGAACGTGACATTTTTCATATTCTTCAATAAAATTATTAACTCCGCTTTTGGCTTGATTCACGTATTTCGCATTCGATCGACTGTTAAATCTTTCGATTTTTTTCAATAACGATTTGTTTTTCGATAAAATGAATCTAGGTTTCATTTTTACTAACCATGACTGGTTCATTGATACTTATAATAAAAAAATAATTACTGAATAATTACCAAATCGTCAAAACAGATAAATTTTTTTTTTTTTTTTTTGTAAAAATCCTATCATAAATTAATCAATTAATTAATTTTTTTTTAAAAACAAAATAATCGTTAATTTCGTAGAAAATTATTTTTTATATGAGCCAATAATCACTTAATACATCGTTATGAAAGTTTAAGAAAATGGCCTAAATGCGCGCGCAGTTTTCGTGGAATATTTCATTGAAGGCGCGTCCGAAGTCATTACATTTACACATTCCTATGTAATCCAATTTATATTTTTGTAATATATATATATATTAATTGATTAAATTAAATTTCAGTTTTTTAAAATGTCTCTTAGCGCGAGCGTTGAAAATTTATCCACTCAATGCGATAATCAGGTAATAATATAATTAAACTTATTCAAATTGTCTATATTTACTCTCTCTCTCTCTCTCTCCTGTTGTTTATATAATAAATAAATAACCACCTAAAATTTAAAAAAAAAAAATTTCCTTTTTTTTTTAAATTAAATTTTTTGCTGTCACTTTTGGTAATTTAATTAGTTTTTCGAGGCTTTAAAAAATTTTCATCGCAACGTATTACATAACTAAAAATATCTAAAACCTTTAATTACTCAAATAATAAATGAAAAATAAATTTTGACATTTGATGTTTTGATAAGGAATCAACTTGAAACAATTTTGTCATCTACGTGTATTATTTTTATATAAAGTTTTAATATTGATTAATAATTGTTATGAATTGATTTCTTTTTGTTTTAGGGCTCTGGTGAAAATGGTAATATGTGTTTAGAATTAGCTCTGGAAGGTGAAAGGTTATGCAAAGCTGGAGATTGTCGTTCTGGCGTTGCCTTCTTTCAAGCAGCCATACAAGCAGGAACAGATGATTTGAGAACGTTGAGTGCTATTTATTCCCAATTAGGAAATGCATATTTTTATCTTGGTGATTACAATAAAGCCATGATGTATCACAAACATGATTTAACACTTGCTAGAACAATGGGAGACATTTTAGGAGAAGCTAAATCAAGTGGAAATTTAGGAAACACATTAAAAGTTATGGGAAAATTCGATGAAGCCATGGTTTGTTGTAAACGACATTTAGATATTTCCAGAGAACTAAACGACAAAGTATGTTTTTCATCCATTTGAACGATTAGCACCTTTTTTTTTTTATATATCATTGAAATTAGTTTATAACTGTAGCAGTTGCTAATTGAATTAATAAATTTTAGCTGAGCGAAGGCAGAGCATTATACAATCTTGGTAATGTTTATCACGCTAAGGGAAAGCATATCGGAAGGGTAGGTCAGCAAGACCCTGGAGAATTTCCAGAAGAAGTCAAAGAATGTTTGCAACAAGCTGTTAAATATTACGAGTATGTTTTTATCATATTGCACATATTAATTGTTCAACTCGTCAAAGCCGAACACAAATGAAATTTTGTCACACTAATTTTAATTATTTATTCAGGGAAAATTTAGAATTGATGAAAGAGCTAAATGATTCTGCAGCCCAAGGAAGAGCATGTGGAAATCTAGGTAACACATATTATCTGTTAGGCGATTTTCAACAAGCAATCAAATACCATCAAGAAAGATTAAGAATAGCGAGAGAATTCGGAGACAAAGCTGCTGAAAGGAGAGCCAATAGTAATTTAGGAAATTCTCATATATTCCTTGGGGAATTTGAATCGGCTGCTGAATATTACAAGTGAAGTTAAAATATAAAAAAATCAGTTTAATAAAAAAAAAAAATTACGAGTTATTAACGATTAATTTTTATTAATTATAAAATAGGCGGACGTTAGTGTTGGCTCAAGAATTGGGGGACCGGGCCGTAGAAGCTCAAGCATGTTATTCTCTCGGTAATACATACACACTCCTTAGAGATTATCCAACAGCAATAGAATATCACTTACGTCATCTAATAATTGCTCAACAATTAATGGATCGCGTGGGTGAGGGCAGAGCTTGTTGGTCACTCGGCAATGCTCATTCGGCAATGGGTAATCACGAAAAGGCTTTGTACTTTGCCACGAAACATCTCGATATATCGAAAGAAGTGAGTTGTGATTAATGATCGAGACTTTGGTGACCCTTTTCAACTTAATTTAATTTAATTATTTGAATTTTTTTTTTTTTTTAGCTCGGTGATACGATGGGGCAAAACACGGCTCAAATGAACGTGGCCGATTTGAAAAAAGTTTTAGGGATTTCAACGACTGAAATTTCACCAGATTCTCAATCATCTGTCCAATCGACCAGGAGAAACAGGGTGAGAAGGCAAAGCATGGAACAACTTAATTTGATTAAGGTTTGATTGCTTTTAACTATGCTCGTGGCTCGTGGATAAAAGGGAAAAAAATTTTTTAACTATGCTCGTTTTAATTTAAACATTTTGTTATCTTTTCAATTTGATTATTATCAGTGACGCTTAATTTTTTTTTTTTTTTTTTTTTTTTTGCTTTATCGTTTTTAAATTGTCAGATATCGATAAGTTTTTTTTTTGCAAAATTCAATTCGCTTGTTTTTAAATGCTGTTTGTAAATGTTTAGTTAAGTTGTTTTACGGTTGCTTGCACACACACACACACACGGCTTAGATTTTTCATTTCGAATTTAAATTTTTGTTGTTATCGTTATTATCACTTTATAATATTTTAAAACATGGTGGTTGTTTAAAAAGAAAAAGAAAAAATGAACGTTACCTTTTTTTTTCCAGTTAACTCCTGATGGAAAACAAAAACCAAGTGCTTCCGAAATGAGTCCTCCATCAATGCCATTCAAATCCGATGCTTCAAATAAAGGGGAACGGTTAGAAGATGAAGAATCGTTTTTTGATTTGTTGTCAAGGTTCCAGTCGGAGAGAATGGACGATCAAAGATGTTCACTGAGTGTTGCCGACAAAGAAAATAAATCTGTTAGTTTATATGCATATTCTTTTAAAAAAAAAAAAAAAAAAAAAATTCAACGAAATGTTTTTGTTGACGGTTTTTTTTTTTTTTTTTTTTTTCAGACGAATTCGGAAATGGGAAAACAAAAGGGAAGTAATAATTTAAGAGGATCAAATCCTTTGGGTCCTTTGCCCAACAATGGCGAAACGAAGGATGATCTTCTCGATCTTATTGTCGGAATGCAAAGTAAAAGAATGGACGAACAACGGGTGGCTTTGCCACATCTTCCGGGCCTTTGCCCTCCATCCGTTCCTTCTCAAAATCCCGTAATACAAAGGTTGTCTCTGGCGGATTCTAAAAATACAGCTCCAGACGATGCATTTTTAGAAATGCTCATGAGATGTCAGGTAATTCATTTTTTTTTTTTTCAACCGGGAAAACCGGGAAACCCCCCCCCCCAAAAAAAAAATAAAATAAAATAACCTTTAATTTTTTGTTTTTTTTTTTTTTTTTGAAGGGTTCCAGATTGGAAGATCAGAGAAGTTCGCTTCCGGAAGAAAGTAACACGGATCAAAGAAAAGCGCCGACGGTACCAGACGAAGATTTTTTTTCGTTAATTTTAAGACTTCAATCGGGACGTATGGAAGATCAAAGAGCTGCCGTTCCTCCTCCCGAACAAATCAGAAACGGTTCCGTTCCGAACGCGGGAGCGGGACAAAGACAAAACTCGGAAGAACCTAGAAAAGAAAAGAAAAAATGATATTTTCGACAGTATTCGTATCAAGGTTAATTATTTCTCTCGAGAAGAAAAAATTTACAAAATAAACGCCTTGATATGAATTTTCCCCCCTCCCCATCCGCCCATCCGCCCCCCACGTCGTCCCCTCACATATTTTTCCGACATACGTGTTTCTCCCCCCCCCCCCCCTATCGCGAGGAATTTTATTTTTCGAAAAACTCGCGAAAATTATTTTCGAGAATCGTGCGAATCAGTTATTTATTATCGATTTATCGATTCGATATCGATTTTCCGAACCGTTCCATAAATCAATCATCCGAACGTATTTTTCAAAATGTGTACATATATATAAATTTTTAAATTTTATTTTTTTAGATGCATTTATCGACGTCGTAGTTAGTTACATTAATATTATTACTATTACTATTATTATTATTATTATTATTTATTATTATTATTATTATTATACAATATTTTAATTATTTAAAAAAAAAAAAAAATTACTGCGATGCATGACGTACGTAATATATCGATCGATCGATCGATCGATTTATCGAAATGAGTTGAATAGAAACGAGACGAGAAGTTTTAACGTACTTACAAAAAAAAAGAAGCATTGATTGATTGATTGATTGATTGATTGACACTCCTTAAAGACTTGTAATTTAGCAATGTTTGATTCTTCTTCTTCGGTGAGAGAGAGAGAGAGAGAGAGAGAAAATAAAATATCATTGGAATTGTATAAAAAGAAAAGAAGAAGGAACATTACTGAAAAAAAAAAAATTATTATTATTATTATTATTATTATTATTATTATTGTTATTGTTACTAACATAATACTATTGCTACTGTTTTTATTATCATATTATTAAAATTATTTTATAAAACTAAAAAAAAAAAAATACTCTTTTGAAAACGTTTTACAAAAAAAAAATTTTTTTTATTATTAAAAATAATAATAATAATAATAAGACTTGAGATTTTTTATTTTAGAAATTATTATTATTATTATTATCATTATTATTATTATTATTATTATTATTATTATTATTATTGTTGTTGATATTAATATTTTTTTTAAACGGGGAATCGGGGTAGAGTTTTACGATTCCATAAATTTTATCGTGTTTTTAAATATATGTATTATTTATTGACTTTTATGCGAATTATTATTAAGTAATAATAATAATGATATTAACGTTACGATAAGATAATGATAATAATTAATATAGACTTTTTTCGGACCACTTAAAATAAAATAAAATAATAAAAAAATATTTTTTTAAAAGTTTTTTTTTTTGTTTTTTTTTTGTATTCGTTTTGACGTAGTAGAATAGGTTAAATAGATTATTTTTCGAGTTCAATCATTCCAGTCATGAATTTTTATCATTATTATCATCATCATCATCATCATCAACTTAATTACTATTATTATTATTATTATTATTATTATGTACGTTTTTTATTATAATAAATTTTTTTTTTTTTTTTATAAAACGAGGTAAATTTAAATTTTTGACATGTCAATTACGTAATTGAAACAATTTCAAAAATTTTTTTAAAATGATTATTATTATTATTATTATCATCATTATTATTATATTATGTATTTTTTTTCTTTACGTACTATTGTATGTATGGATTTATTTATTTATTACCGTAATTATTATTATTAATATTATTTGTAAATGAAATTTATACTCTTGTAAAAAAAAAAAAAAATCAATTTTTTTATTGGATTTTTTTAAAAGGGGGAGAGGAGGGAGAGAGAAAGAGAGAAAGAGAGAGAGAGAGAGTGGAAAGCGTAATATTTTTTCAAATATACAAAATAGTAATAATAATAATAATAATAATAGTTTTAAAGCGGTAGGGAAAAAATATTGCGTTGAATGTACTACCAAGAGAATTGTTTTCTAAGCAATGAAGCATATATACATTGATCAGACCTATTGAATCTCTCTCTATCTCTCTCTCTCTCTCTCTCTTTCTCTCTCTCTCTCTTTTTCTTCCCCTCTTTCCCTTTTTCTGTCTCTTTTTATTAAAAAAATCTTATAAGAATTTTTATGAATGTGTAATTTTTTTTTTTGTACGGGTTTTATATTTATTTATTGTAACAACCGTATGTGACAAACAAACAAACAAACAAACAAACATTTATACAAATTTGTTTTATATACATATACATGTATTAAATTGATTATTATTATTATTATTACAACGTTGGATTTTTAATAAAAAATAATAATAATAGTCGAATCGATGATGATTTAATTTAATGAAAATATTTTTTTATAATTATATTTTTTTTAACACGATCCCTCATCGTGTGTTAAATAAATAATTTTATTATTATTATTATTTAAAATGATGATAATAATAATAATAAAAGAAAAAATATTTAGCGAAAATGAAATATTTATGTTTAAATGTTTTCAAATATACTTTAATTATATACTCGAATTTTTTTTTTTTTTTTTTTTTTTGCAACCGGGGATTTTTCATATAATCGATTTGAAATGGGAGAGGGGGTGGGAGGAGGGAAAGAGGGGATGGGAGGGAGGAAAAGAATCCCTTTTAGTAGAAAAAAAAAAAAAAAGCAATTTTAATAATTAATAATAAAGTTGAAAATAAATTTAATTTTTTAACTTTAAGGAAGGGGACGATGTTGTGACGTCATAGTGACGTATAAGCGTCTTGGTGATCGTGGTAGTAGGGAAAAATATTCAAGTGTTTGCGCGGTTGCTAGGGACGTTGGGGGAGTCACGTGATTAATTTTAAAAAAATTCTGTGCAGTGGACGGTTTTTGTGTTTTATTCACTTTTCAATCGCTCTTCGATTGATTAAAAGTAATAATAATAAGTTAAAAATTTGTTATCTTTTGTCTGTCGACATTTAGTAAATGTAATGCAACGTTTATTGTGTGATTGTTTGGAAAAATCAACCAATTCTCTATGAACGTGTGGTTCATGCGAAGGTGAGAATATATATATATATGTTGTAACATTTTTTCTGTTAAGGGTTGAACAATATATGCATAACTAGGTCATTGTGTCGTATATGATGATGTTCAATACAGCGACTAATTAATAACAAATGAAAGTAATAATAATAATAATAATAATGGTTTCCATACGAGAAAGTCAAAACTTACATTTTAAGTAGCTTTTTTTTATAGTTAAAATGGCTTCCTAAACGTTATTTTTAATGTGCTTTTTGTTTTATACCAGTTCATTGTCTGAATCGCCTGGATGACTTGAAACCGGAAGACGAAAATGGTTTTCTTACCATCAAAGATGACGATGCTTTATTGCCTTTAATACCTACAAAACCTAACAAAAAAGATATGCCGGCCCCGGGGTCACAAATGGGGTCACTTTATCCACCACCAGATGGGTAATTTGTTATTAAATTTGATTTTTGTTCAAATAATTTGTTTTTTACTTATAACCGTTTTTTTTTTTTTTTTTTTAGGATTGAAAATGACAGTGGTGGACTTGTTGGTGGAGAACTATCATCATCACAAACAAGAAATCCATTGATTTGTTATTTATGTAATGATTATTATTCAAATCCTTGCCTTTTGCAATGTTACCACACATTTTGTTTAAAATGTTTAAGGGGAAGAGAAGTAGAGGGAAGAATATCTTGTCCCGTTTGCGGGTGAATACAACAATAATTTTTTTTTTTAATTGGTTGAAAATCAAACGCGAATGATTGATTGATTGATTGATTGATTGATTAATTTTAGAACACTTACCAGTTTGAGAGATAATTCTGTTCTTCCACCGCCTGATAATTTAATGAAACAATTGATGGAATTAGTCAATGCAGAAAATCCTCCTTGTGCCAACTGTGACAAACGTGATAAAAATTCAATGTTTTTCTGCAGCACGTGCGGTCAGTGGAAAATCTTTCTGGAAAAAAAAAACTGGAATGAAACAATTGCATTAGAGAATGTTGTTAAAAATTAGAATTTTTTTTTATCATTTGAACGTTGTTATTTGCATTTGTTTGTATAAAACGCCAAGAAATGACGGTTAAAAAGGAAATTAGGGAGTGGGAGGTGGGGGGCGGAGAGGTGGGAAATTTCAAATGGTTTGCCATTTTGTTTGTTTGTTTGTTTGTTTGTTTGCTCGTACATTTTTATTTTGTTTGTTCGAACGTTATGCTTTTTTATTGATTTTTTTTTTTTTTTTTTAAGTTTAATTTACTTCTCTTGGATGTCAGTATATTAAGAAGGTGATAATTGTGATTTGTGTGTTGAAAACGGGGGGGAGGGAAAAGGAGGAGAGAGAGAGTAGGAGGAGGAGGAGTAACTTTTATTGTAAATAAATGATTTTAAACACACATTTTTCATATAAAACAAATCTTTCATGTTTTGTATTATTTTAAATTTGCATGATTTTTTTTATATACATGGAAACCTGGAATTTGTTTTGTTTTTTTGGCGGGAATTTATTTATCCCGACGTTTATCGATTTTTTTTTTTTCTAGGGCAATCCTTGTGTAATCAATGCAGAGAAAATACTCATCGTGCCAAAATGTTTTCAACTCACGATATTTTCCACATGTCTAAATGCATGAAAGATTCGCAAAAAAGGGTAAAAAGGAACAAATAATTTTTTTTAAATCGAATTAATCGAATTTAAAATTAATGGCATAAATTTAATTTTTAGTGTCCCACTCATGGCGAATTATTTATCATGTTTAACAATGCTCAAAATTCAATGTTATGCGTCACGTGTTTTAAAGATGCACCACACGAAACGAGATTACATTGTGTTGATATTGATGCTGCATACACTCAAACATCAAAAAAATTAGATCGAGCTGTTATCGTATGTTTTTTTCGGGGGGGGTAATAACGGTCACGTTTTGACCAACAACGTAATTATTTTCGTTTTTCAGACGCTCTGCGAAGTACAAAATTCGGTTCGAGAGGGTTTGCTAATGTTTAAAACACATTTGGAAGAGTTGAGACATAATATGGATTGTGAAAAACATACCATCAATACGTTTTGTCAAGGAATGCAAGAATCAATTGCAAAAACTCATTCGAACATGATGATGGAAGTTCAAAGGTATTATTATTATTATTTCCAAGGATTTGTTTTTGGAATTATAAATAATTTTAAATAATTTTTAGACAATATGAAACTAAAGAGCGTTCGTTTCGAGGACAGTTGGTTCATTTGGGAATCATACTACCCGTCATTCAACTCCATCTTCTTCTTTGTCAAAGTTTTACAAACATAGCAAATAAATTTCAATTTCTCGATATGGCAAATTCAATGATCGATAGATTATCAGCCGTAACTCAATTAACTCAACCCCAAAGACCCATTCAATCAAGTCAGATAAGAACAAATTATAGGAATGAATTTGCTCAATGTTTGGAACCTTGGATAGGTAAAACGGCTCAATCGATTCCCAGGTCGGGACCTACAACTCAAGAACCTCTCGGTTCTATTGATCATTTTAATGCTATTTTACTGCCACAACAACCGGGACTTGGAATTCATGCTCAGCAACCTTCTAAAAGGCAACAAACGGTACTCAGAACGAAAGCAATGGAAGGAGAAGGTCCTTTTTCAAATCATTGCAGGTTGGTTTGTTTACGAAAACGTTACATTTTTTGTTTTAATTCAAACAAAAAAAGCTAAAGTTTTTTTATTTAAAACTTTACAGAAGTTTTGACACGCAAGTCAAAGAATTAAGTCAACAATTATCAATGGTAAAAGAACGTTTAAATGACCTACACAGAGATGTTTCTTTATTGAGAAGAGTTCAAACGCCGCCGCTTATAAACAGATATCAGAGAATCAACGGTGATTAATTTAAATGTTTTTATCGTCTGCTTACAAATTAACAACAAATAATTTTTTCCCCTTCCTTCCCCCCTCCCCGCAGGTGATTGTTCGCTCCTGGAAGAACAACTTGAAAAACATCAAGTCGAATTAAATCGCATGAAAAATGTTTTCGACACATTGTGGGAAGAACAATTATGTAGGATACACGTGGAGCAAGATATTTTTCAATCACAGGTTCGATCCTGTATTTTTTTTGCCGTTTTCCTGAAATGGCCTCGCGGTTTCTCATTTTTTTATTATTTTACTTTTCAGGCTAACGAAATAATTTCTCTAAGGGCCGAAGTCAAACATTTAACTGCTGTTGCTCATCAATTAGAACCCTACATAAAATCATTTTCCGCCGCACAAATGACGTCATCGAACAAAATCCAAGAATCAAAATCGCTACAGCAAAATCAAGAATTTACCAATTTGCACAGTCAGCAACTTCAAACGTTATTAGATCACATAAATTCATTACAACTCGACAGGAATAAATTTCATTCCCAATCGAATATTTCGTCTGCGAGTTCGAAAACATCCGCGAAAGGTACTCACGACAAATAATAATAATAATATTAGAATTTCCATCGGGTATTTTATTACTACTAATTTTATTAGATGGTAAAGAAAGGCCGAGATCTAAAACACCTTCTCATTCTCCTGGTGCTTCTGCGGGTCCATCATTAGATCAAGGATGCGCATTCGTATACGAATGTCAAAAAATTCAACAGCAAATATCGGGTGAAACGAGTGGCGGGGGGAGCGGTGATAAACAGAGAGGAGTTTTTTCACAACTCATCGATAAGGTAAGTATTATATTTTCCATCACCCAAGACAATATAAATTATAATTAATAAGAGGTATTTTCAAGGTAAGATCTAAAGATGATAGGAAAAAATCCGTAGATGATAGAGAGAGGTGCCAACTTAACAAAGATAAAAGTAAATCGGGTGAAATAATAATAAGTCGTTCGAAAGAGAGACTCGTCGATGATTTTCAAAACAATCAAAAACAATCGACGGGACTAACGAATAAAACGAAACATAATAAAAAAGAAACGAAATGTATTAAAGATGGAAAAGTTGTTGCTTCCGTTTATCAAAGTCTTAGCGGTAAAGTTTTAGGTACGAAAACGGAAACGGAAATGGATGATATGAAAACGGAATCTCGTTTACCACCGCCACCGCCACCCGCGAGAAGGACGACATCATCTTCTCAGGTTTAAATGATAAATAAAATAAATGATAAAAAATGATGATGATGATGATGATGAGTTAACACTTTTCGTTTGTCGCGACAGGAACATCAACAAGGAACGGACATAAGAGAAAAATTAGAAATACATTTAAAAGAAAAATTACAAGAAATGGGATCACGTGGTGGAAAATCCATGACAAGACATCATCACGTATCGAAAATGGATAAATCTCATAGTTTAGATGGTAAAATAACAGACGATTATCAAAGAATATCCGATGCCATGTCGTACGGTCCGAATGACATAAAACCCTCGAGATCTCTAATACATCGCGAATCTCAAAAGTGAGAAGGTTTAAGGTTTAAGGTTTAAAGTTAAACATAAAACATGGAGTTTGTAGTAGTAAATCATTAAAAATTTTCCGCAGTAGCAAAACGGGTATGACGTCAACTTCACCTCGACGTCAGGAAAGAAAATCGAGAGATCGATCAATCGATAAGGAAAGAACGAGAGAAAGACGTGAAAAAGTTGAAAAAACAAGAGATAGATCGAGAGATTCAAGAGGTTCCGGTGAATCGAGAGATGGATCACGTGAGGAAAGAGATAGGATAAGACAAAAGGAAGGAAGGTTTGGGAAAAGAAAAATGAAAAGGTTTGGGAAATTGAAATCCGGGAATTTTTGACAAGAAAATTTTTTTTTTTTTTAGGGAAAGATCGAGAGAAAGACGGTTGAGACGTGATAAATATGGAAGGTATTATCCGGCAAGCGATACCGAAGATAACGTATTTTACCGCAGCGGAAATTTTAACAAAAAACAAAATTCGTTCGATAGTTTAACACTTAGCCCGGTATCAGTGGGTAGTAGGAAATCATCTGTGAGTTTAACCTTTGACCTTTAGATCAAAAGTCATTTTTTTGTATGAAAACGAAATCGAAAGGGTGAACGTATTATTTTCCAGGGTGATTTAGAAGATCGGAAAACGTTAGTTTTGGTTATAGGAAATCACAAATCGCAATCGAAACAAAGGCAGGGATCCCTTAAACAAAGATCGTGGGAAACTTTTCCACCGAAAAAGAAAAACGGTTCGGATTATTACGATGGTAGTAAAACCAAAAACCTTCTTTAAAACAATATCAAAAAAAAATGGAAGAACGCGTTCATTTAACCATTTTTTTGTTTTTTTTTAAGGGCGTTCGCATAGACATTCGACGGGTTACAACAGTCGTGGTTATTCCGTTCAAGAAAGAAGACGTTCGTTGGAAAGAACAACAAAAACAAGAGATAAAAATCGCGAGAGTCCGCCGGAAGGACCCCTAAGAAAAGCTGATAGTTTCGAAGGACACGAAGAAGCCGTGAGAACTTTGGTTGCTGCCGTTCATCAAACGAGATCTCATAAATTACAACAGAGTAGAAAATCAAAAACTTCCGGTGGTCACGTGAGCAATTAAACAACAACAAAAAAAATTATTATTATTATTATTATTAATAAAAAAAAAAAATACGAAACAGGGTTTCTCACTCACACACCCACACTCATTTAATTCGTTTGTATTATTATTATTATTATTTCGAACCGTCGTAAGTGCGTTAATAATAATAATAATTAATTACGTTTTCCTATCGTATGTAATGTTGTTGTTGTTCTTGTTCTTGTTATTATTATTATTCTCGAATTTTTAATTGTTAAAATCGTATATACATGTTCGACTTATGCTAAAAGTAGATTTCAATTATTATTATTATTATTATTATTATCGATTATTTATGTATATATATTTATTAACTTTTCTTCGTTCTAATAAATATTTATCGATTTAAAAAATAATAATAATAATTAAATGTTATAAACAAAAATATTCTATTTCTTCAAATTGTAGATTTAACCAAAAAAAAATTTAAATTTAAATTTGATTCCGTTATTATTATTATTATTAAAAGAAATCTCATGTGAAAGAGAGATAATTGTTAAAAAAAAAAAAGGCTTTACGTAAAGTGTTTTTAGATATTTTAGACGTGGCATAAGAAAAAAAATAAAAAAAACCGTTAATTTTTTTTTTTATGTTTGTTGTTGTTGATGACGTAATAGAATTTTCAGAAAGAAAAAAAATTACACGAAATGAAAAATTAATTAAATAATTTAAGAGCGCATATACTTAGCTTACGTGATTATTATATATATTCATTTTTCCGTCGGGTCATTAGAAAATCGTGTACGATAAAATGTTTTGAAATTCGCGCCAAAAAAAAATAAAAAAAATTTTTTCTCATTAATTCGCACTCTGTTAATAACACGTATACGTAATAATTATATTATTAATGATAATGATAATAATAATAAAAATAATAATAATAATAATAATAATAATAATAATAATAATAATAATTAATAATGAATGACCAGTTGTAAGAAACTTCACACTGCCCTAAAAAAAGTTTTTTTTGTTTTTAAAAAATAAAAATAAAAATTTTAAATTTAATTGAAAACGTAAATTTTTTTTCTCCAGGATTTCCCCCTCCCCCCGTCCCCCTCCTAAGAGAAACCATATCCGGAAATTTGTTTTTTGTTTACCACCCCGCCCCCCTCTCCACCTTTCGTACAAACAACAAGAAAACATAAACGGAAGGGAAAAAAACAGGAAAAACGTTTGAACTCACACGCGCTCGTTTCACTTTCTGGAATGATTTTTGGAATAAAAAAAAAAATTTACGAAAAATTTCTCCAGAACAATTTATCATGGCGGGGGAAGGGGGAAGGGGAGGGGGAAATAATAATATCCGGTTGTAAAATTATTTATTCAGTTGTTAAATTAAATTGCAAACAAGAAAACGTTGCCATGACTTTTAATCGTTTTTTTCCTTTTTTTTTTTTTTTTACTAAAATTTTAATCGATATTCCGAATACAACAATAAAAAAAAAAAAAAAAAAATTTTGTCGTCGTCGTCAACCAACCAACTAACAAACCATTCACTCACTCAGTTAGACAGTCAGTCAGTCAGTCAGTCATTCACCGTCTTTCTACCTGAGACGTTACATATTATTTTGTCTTTGTTTAACAACAACAACAACACGTAAGTTTTTCTCTTTCTTTTTTTCTTTTTCTTTTTTATTAAACTTATTTATTAATTATTATTATTATTATTATTGTGTCATAATTGGTACGATTTTATTTAAATTAATAACCTTTATTAAAAAAAAAAAAAAATTGCCGAAATTATTACGCACTTACATACCCATTATCATCATCAGTACCTCAACGTCTCTCATACGGGGGAGATTTAAATAAGTGACGTCACAAATTAATAATTCCTTTCTTATCATAGTTCCTTCTCCTCTCTCTCTTATCAAACGATAAACCTTTCTCTCTCTCTTACCCTCCTCCCCATACAAAAAATCCTTCCTTTTACGATTCTCCATCACAAACAACGACAACCACAAACAAACAAGAGAAAAATTTAATTTCGAAACGAGGAAAACATACGGAAAAAAACAATCCTAAATAATACTAATAATAATAATAAATAAACGTCTGTCAAATGTACGACAAATGATGATAATTTTTTTTTTTTTTTTGTAATAAACACGAAACAAATTACGACAACAATAACAACAAACAACAACAAACAAACAATTAATAATAATAATAATTAAAAGAAAAGAGAAAAAAAATTTTTTTTTTTTTTTCTAAATAAATTTAATTAAAAGATTTTTTTCCCGTTTTTCCCTCCCCCCCCCTTTTTTTTAAATTTAAATTTAAATTACTTATTAAATTATTATTATTATTATTATTATTATTATTATTATTATTATTATTATTCGTAATTAATTAACTGTTGATTCTAATTAACAAAAAAAAAAAAAAATTTACACAAAAAAGAAAAAAAAGAAAAAAATTTTTTTTCGAATCCTTTTAATTGTTTTTTTTTTTTTTTTTTTTTTTTCAAATGCGAAAAACTAAAACGATAATAATAATAATGATAATAATAATAATAATAATAGTAATAATAATAATAATAATAATAATAATAATAATAATTGAAATTCAATCGATCAAACAAACAAATTTTTTGTGTTCGTTCGTTCGTGTAACAACATATTATGGTAGTAACGACTAACTAAGAAAATCATCGCATGTTTAAATGTTATTAAGAGTTGAAGAGAGAAAGAGAAAGAGAGAGAGAGAGAGAGAAAGAGAAAGAGAAAGAGAGAGAGAGAGAGAAGAAAATTTTTTTTTGTGGAAAAACATTTTCTTTTTTTTTTTATGTTCTCTCTCTCGTGAGTTATCATTCGAAACATAAATTTTTTTTTTTTAATTTGTTTTTAATTCAATTAATTATATTTAATTTCGCTTTTAAAAAAAAAGTTTTTTTATTGTTTTCTCTTCCTAACAGAGAATAATAATAATAATAATAATAATAGGAAGAAGAAGTGGAAGAATCGTTTGTTTGTTTGTTTGTTTGTCGTTTTGAAAATGCCCGTAAACACATTATCGAAAAATCGTAAAACTTTATTAGTCCGTCAATTTTCATTACAAAATCAAACAAGTTCGATAACGTCGATAAAAGCTCGGGATAAATTGAAAAAACAATTTTCCGAAGATGACGGAAGATGTCTGGATTCCGTGGAAATAACCGGACAAGGATGGAATAAAGGAAAAACAACCCTAACATCCGGTTTGAATGGTAAATCCAATGTCGGGGGTGGTAAAAAATTAAACGGATGTAATGTCAAACCTAAACCTGCTAAAGTCGCTTGGATTGATAAGAAACAAGATGATGTTGTCGATGATGATGATAACAACGATTATTATCCAAAAGGTAAAATTAAAAATGTTACGAATTACCATTATTATTGCGATAACTCGGGGGGTTGTTTTTTTTTCCAGGGGTTGAAATAATAGCGACGAAATGTCAGGGACAACCGAGACCCTTATCGAATAAAATTCAAAGGTTTAAAAATCCATTGATAAAAGGAAATAAAGATAGTTTGGTATATTCGAGATTAGAATTAGCAGAAAGATTGCGTAACGCATGGAGCGAACGTGATAAAACAAAACCGAATTTGAATATTTTTTTAGCACAGGGATCTGAACAACCAGAACAACAACAACAACAACAACCGGATAACGTATCCACACTTTCGGATACGACAATAACAAAACAAAGATCTTTACTACAAATGAGATTTTATTCAAACGATGACGTTTTATCAACTAAAAGTTTACCAGGAAGTGGAGAGAAAAAAGACGTGAATGACGTGGCAGAAGAAAACGCGTCAATAATAATAACGGAAGTAAACGATGATGAAAAATCAACATTCGCATCATCGCTACGTGAATTAAATAAAATCGAAATAAGAGTTAATACGATGGATTCGAATAAAGAAAATGATAATGGAAACGTTAAAACAACGCAACAAACGCAACAAACGCAACAACCACGACAACAAACGACAGCAACGACAGCGACGGCATTAACGGCAAAAGATAGAAGAGGAAATTTTCGTAACGGAGGAATATTAAATAAAACAATAACGGAAAGTTTTTCATTGGAAATGGAAGGAAAAATAAAAAGTGATGACGTCAATGATTACGATGATAATGATGATGATAACGTTAAAAAAAAAAAAGAACCTAAAAAAATATTGGTACGAGCGTTATCGGCACCCAATCACGATCAGAAACCAATTGCCACGATACAAAAAACCGTTAAATTCATGCCACAAAAACATTACGATCCGACAGGTAATAATAATGATAATGATGATAAAAAAATGAAAATTGTTAAACGATTGAATTTTTTTTTTTCCAGAAGTTTCTCCCGATGAAATAATAGCAATAAGAGAACGTATAAAATCCGCACCGATAAGAAGAAAATTAAAATCGGCAGCAGCGAGACGTAAAAATAAATCGAAACCTGAATTATTGACGTCATCAGATGACGATGACGAAAATGACGAGAATGACGATGGAAAAGAATCGAAAAACGGAGAAATGAAAAAGAAAAAAACAAAACGTGATAAGAAAAATAAGAATGATAACAACGTGATAACGATGGTATCACTCGTGTCACCGGCAGAAAGTGATACCGATGATTCGGTAATTGCTACTCTACCCATGGAATCATCGACTTTTACAACCCAAGAAGAAGTTGAAAAAAAGGAAACGACGACGGGGGATATCAAAACCGGAAATGATTGTTTAAACGTAACGAATGAAAACGCATCATCATCATCATTCATAGTACAAAAATTAATAACGTTAAGAAAAACAAATAAATCAGGTACCTGGATTTTTAAAAAAAAATGTCGTCACGTTACTGGAAATTTCTCTGGAACGTTTTCTATCTTTCTTTTTTTCTTTTTTCCTGTCTTTCTTTTTTCTGTCTTTGTCTTTCTTTCAGTGTCTTTTCAACATCAAACGAATTTAACGAAAAATTATTTAACGAGTTTTCCATCGAGAAGAGTTCCAGCGGGTACTCCGATAATAATACCATCACCTGTAATAAATAATCCGGCATTAACTCCAGCACAGTTAAAAGATAGAGATAAAAGGTTATCATCAATTTATTTTACTGGAACTGATAATAGAGGAACGAAAAGAAGATTGATAAGATCACCCACGAGCGAAACCGTTAAAGAGTATGTTTACCTTATCGATAAATTTTTTTTTTTTTTTGATTACTGGAGAAATGTAGAGATATCGTTTCTTTATTTCGTGATTAATGAATAATAATAATAATAATAATAATAATTTTATATAAATTATTTGATTGCTAAAAATTTTTGCATGCAAAAAATAAATTTTTTTTTTTTTTTTTTTCTCCATTTTCGTTCCAGTGATAACATTTACGATAATGATAAAACAACAAAAACAACGACAACTCCAACTACAACGTGTTCGTTCGATATAAATAATAATAATAATTACATTAAAAAAACAAGTCATAATAATAATAATAATGATAAAGAAACCGATTTTTATCGTGATGATGATGATAAAAATAAGGTCAACGAACCCGAATTTAAAAATCCTAAAGAAAAAGAATGTTGGATTTTATATAAGAAAATGATTGAAAATGGAGTCACCGTTACGTTCGATACCGTTTTAAGGTTTTTCACGTTTCTTATCAGTAGTTATCTTATCATCATCTTATCACTTAATCACTTAATTTTTTTTTTTTTTTTACAGAGGAATGATGACGCCAACGGAATATCGCTTAAGAAAAAATCCGTTAAAACGTTGATGGGAGAGAGAGAGAAAAAAAATTATCGATTCCTATCTACGGTCCTGTTGTTGTTATTGTTATTTTTATTGTTGTTGTTGTTGTTGTTGTCTTTATCCCTACAACCTTTTCCCCCCTCCTTCCTTCCTTCTCCCCTCACATCCCGTTTCCTCCTTTTAAAATTTATTATTATTACGTTCTTTAAAGTGTTATAATTATCATTATTAGCGAGAAAATAATAAAAAGAAATTTTATTTAATTTAAAATACGGTTAATACCTTTTTGCACTCACATGTTTTCAATACAAATATGCCCTTTTTACATTGAATCAATAACAACTATTTGGCTTTACTGCACGGGTTTAGCGTTGATTTTAAATCTTTTTGGCACGTATGTGAAAGAAATTTTTTGATTGGTTAAATTTTTTTGGCGGAAAAATTTGCTTTTTTAAAACAAAAAAATCTATCAACCGCGCCTAATTTATTTTTTTGTTTACTTTTTTAAATTGTTAACGTTTCCATTATTATTTTTCGTCTGCTTTTTTTTTTTTTTTTTGTTTGTTTAAGATATTAAACGTTTGTTAATTTATTTGCACAATCGTAAAAAATGTAAATTGGTAAAACGACCGTTAAATTTATTATAAAACTACTGGGGGAAAATTCAAATAAGTTTTCTTTAACTCCCCCCACCCTTAAATAAGAAAAAAATTAATTACATTGCGGGGGGAGGGGGTCAAACTTATTTTATTATAATCTTTCCCACACACTAAAAAAAATCTATAAAAACCTTCTCGAAATTTCGATTAACAGTTTCAAAAAAAAAAAAAAAAAAAAAACACGAGATAAAATTTCAACACCACGTGGTGTGTTCTTTCCATATCCGGATTGTACTGAAAACTAATACGAGAGATAGCTTCATAAACCCTTATTGCATTCAATTCTCCTCCCACTTCGTGCCGTTATGTTAGTTAAACAAAATGACACATATGCCTTTTTAACATTACTAAATGTCATTTTTCACATATGCCCTTATTATTTTAAATAACATAAACCCAACAATTTAATTATTTCGTGTTTACAAACAACAACAACAACAATAACAACAACATTCTCCGTCCGGCGTTATGGCGCGTTAATGACAATTTTAAAAAAAATTTTTTTTCTTTCTCTCTCTCTCTCCTTCCTTCCTCCCCTCTCTTAATCTTTATCAAAATATTTCGACGATAAAAAAAAAAAAAAAAAAAAAAAAATAATGGAACCACAAAATTTTTATTTTTTTTTTTAAAAAAAAAAAGTTAATAATTAATGTGATGCATACACGTGTGTGTGCACGTAAGTCCGAAGGTGGTGTTGGTATTAAACCCAAAGAACGCCGATTGATTCGCCATTAGTCGTACAAAAAGATGCCGGCCTTAATTTAGACAAATTGTGATTGTCAACGGGTGTCGAACTCCATCTCCTGTGAACTTTACAACCGTAATTATCGATTTGTGGCAAACCGATCATTTCTCGATTGTATTTATTATTATTATTATTATTACTACTACTATCGTCCATTTTGTTTTTAACGTTTTGATTAGTGTTGTAATATGTCGAATTCGCTATTGGGATTCCGATTTCTTGAAACGAATTGAGAGATGAAAATCCGCTTTCGTCATCAGCCGAAGAACTTATTATGCTCATCTGTGGCGGCGATGAACCTTTCGTAATATCATCTCTCGATGATCTTCTTCTTCTCCCGTTGCATCTCGTCGAAGATTGCTGCTGCTGCTGCTGCGGCTGCGGTGGCGGAAGTGGTGGCGGTGGCGGAAGTGGTGGCGGCGGCGGCGTCGATGATGATGATGATGATATTTCTAACATTGGATTATTCGCGTCTCTCATTCGATAATTTTCGCTCGTGTCGCTTTCTAACGTTGCCGATATCGTGCTGCTTGCTGAAGATACGTCGGCAATGTTCGAAGGTGACGGTGAACAAGTTGTCGTCGTCGTTCCTCCTCCTCCTCCTCCTGTTGCTGTCGTCATCGATGTTCCTCCTCCGTTGTTTAATCTCGATGTTAAATCCGGTTCTCTCGTGCTTAAAAGTGATTTAACGGTTCGAAGTAAACGAAATGCTTCTTCTGATAATTTGCTCACGTTAACTTCTTCGAAATCTTCCAACTGGTGATGATGATGATGCTGTTGTTTTCGCGGTTTTCGCCTGTAAAACAATATCATTATCATTCTTTTTCCGGTTGTTTTCAATTTCCGTTAAACAAATAATTTTTTTACCAAGACATTTCTTTAAACATGCTTCCGTGTTTCGGACAATCCGGATCCGCGATTTGTACGAAACTTTTTGCTTTTTGAAATGTTAATAAATTTGTTTCCAATCTCGGTGACGATAAAAATCTTGATGGAGACGTGTCGACGGCGTGAACGCTTCTAGATCTCGGAACTCTACAAACAAACATAAAATGACGACAAACGTGGGGAAAAAAATTTTTTATTTGTACAACAACAACAACCAACCTTGAGACGTTGTCGACGCTGTTTTTGTACTCCATTTGATTTTGTAAAACGTCTAAATTTTTATGGGTTTTTTGTAAAAAGGAAAGTACTTGCTCCATGACAGCCCTGTACATTTGACGTGAAGCTTCCGCTTGGCGAAGCTGCCATTGCAAGGTTGTCACTTGTGATTGAAGCATCACAGAATCAACATCACTTGCGGATGAATACGATCTGTGAAAACTAGATCTGATGACAGGTTCGTTCATTAGTTTATTTCAAGGAAACCTTAAATAAAATGATGAATGACGTCACATACCGGCAAGACAAAGGCGACCTTAAACGTATTTCATCGAACCTCCTTTCGTTACATCCTCCTGATAGGTACCTTTGATACGCGAAGGTACTGTTTCGTGACGTCGGCCTATCACTTGAAACCGGTTGAATGTTGTAATTTTCTTCAATTATTTCCGACGTCTGAAACGGACAAAAAAAAAAAAATCAAACACAATTCGTAATGGACGCAAGAAAACAACAACAACAACAACAACCGACAAACAGAAAAAAACGACGCACGCACGCACGACAGAAACTTTTTTCTTTTTTCTTTCCATTAATTCACGCATGGATTATTTTTGATAATAATAATGATAATATTAATATAATCAGGGTTGAGTTCACACACCCCTCTCTTTTCTTCCCCTTTTTTCCCCCCCGAAAAAAAACTACCACCCATTATTACTTGGGTAATTTTTGTTTGTTTGTTTTTTCCTTTTACGATTACGTAATAAATTTATTAATTAATAAAAAAATTAAATTTAAATTTTCTTTTTTTTTTCGGTGTCAAACAACTTCCGCGTTTTTTTTTCTCTCTCTGTCATTTTGTGACGTCATCGGGAAAATTACTTAGTGGAGATTTAAATCATCACACAATACTGTTATAGTTAAGAAAATATTTTTTTGAAAATTATTTCCCGCCTTTTCCCCAGTCCCCCACCATCTTATTAATTTTCCATTATAAAAAAAAATATTGATAATAATAATAATAATGATAATGATAATGATAACGACACGAAATCATTTTAACGATTCCTTAAAGTTTAATGATGATTTTTTTTTTTAAATTTAAATTTCCGCCATTTTTATTTTTACGACTTTAATTTTTTTTTTTCTTTCTTTTCAAGTCACGATATTTTGCAACAAACGACAACGACAACAACAACAACAACAACAACCACCACAAACACAACAACAACGACAAAAAAAACATTATTTACGATAAATGAATATTTAAAAATTTTGAAAATAAAAATAGTCGTCGGGTTTTTATTTCCACAAAAAAAAATAATAAAATTTTTTTTGTATTTTAAATTCACGTGGCATCAGACGACGACGCACGGCGACGAATATTCATAAATGAAAATTAAAATTTAAAAACTTTTTATTGTGTCCGACGAACGACGACGACATGTTGTCGTTATCACGAAGGAAACATAAAAAACATAAAACATTTTTCTTTTTTTTTTTCATCGTCGGGGTAAAAAATCAATGCCACTTCAAAATAATAATAATAATAATAAATTCGTACTTTTAAAGTAATTATTATTATTATTATTATTATTATTATTTCGCGTACACTAATGACTTTCGCGTTACGTAAAAATTTCTCGTATTACTTATTATTATTATTACTTTTTCCAACAACGAGTAATTTTTAAATTTTTTTTTTTTTTTTTGAGAGTTATTAATATCGAACTCGAGGCAATCGAACAATATCGATTATTATATCGATCAAATATGGCGGAATAAAAAAAATTTAAAAAAAAATTACCTCGGGTTTGTTAATTTGTTGATTGAATCGGCGGAGTAATAAAATAAAAAGTTGCAAAATTATTATTATTATTATTAATATTATCCCTAGGGTGGTGACGGCGACGTCGCCACCGCCACCACCGCCGACAAAATTTTATCGAATTTGTTTTTTTTTTTAATCGTAACTCGCGACCGCGGCCGCCATTTTTAATTTTCACGCATTTAATAAAAGATTATTTATTCTATGAGTTTAACGGTTGGTAATAATAAAAAAAAATTTTTTGTTTGACGATTGCGAAAAAAAATTTCAACAACAACAATGATAATAATGATAATAGTAATAATAATAATAATAATAATAATAATAATAATAATAATAATAATGGAGGCCGTAATAAAAAAAAAAAATGTACCGAACCGATTTCTACCGATTTTTTTTTTAAATGTAAAATTACGCTTTTGCAACGTCATTTCAATAAATTTGACTTACACGCGCGTTTATTATTTACGAAAGAGAGAGAGAAGGGGTGGGGAGGGGAAAAAAAGGGGGGAGAGAGAACATTAAAAGTGTAAAGAAAAAAGAAAAGTTTCGAAATAGAAGAGTCCGCATTTGCAACTTGTAAAAATTATAATTATTATAAATTTGTGACGTAATAAAAAAAAGTGAACGTTATTAAGTCGACAAAAAGATGCAAGCCGTGAAAACAAAGAGAGTGATACCAACTTAAAAAAATATCAAACGAAACCGGAAATGTATCAATATCAACTGTAACGAAATTCATTCGTTTCCCGTTTGTAATTTAACCAATTTTTTTTTTTTTAACAAATAGAAAACCTCGAAAAAAAAAAAAAAAATTGTCGCAGTCGAAAATTTGCCGAAAAATTAATATCGATTTACCGGAAATGAAAAAAAAAAATTTATATCGTCGTATTTGTCGATTTTTTTTTTCTAACGAGTTATCGTTCTCGAAAATTTTTTTACGTAATTCTTTAATATGATTTATTAAACGTAAGACTATCAAGCCAAAAAATTAAAGGGAAAAAAAAAAATTACCCCCTTTTGGGTAGGTAATAATAATAATTTTAAGATTAGGAAAAATTCATTACAACTTTTTAAAAAAAAAAAAATTAATCGAATGATGGCAATCTACTCGGCGTTTCCGGTTAACCGAGTCAAATTTTTTAAATTTATTATTACTTTTTTTTTTTATTATTGGTTTTTTCGATAGATTTTGATAAGAGTTTTCCAAAAAAAAAAAAAAAAATTTTAATTTTGGAGAAAGAGAGAAAGCAAGAAAGAAAAAGAAAGAAAACGAGGAAGCAATAGAGAGAGAAAGAAAATATGGGAAGAAGAAGGAAACAACGGACAAAAAAAGAAAGAGAAAATCAACAGAGAAATAATAAAATAGAGAGAGAAACAACAGATAAAGAGAGAGAGAGAGAGGAACAAAAAAGAAAAAGAAGAGAGAAAACGAGGGAGAAAGACAGAGTGAGAGACAGATATAAAAGAAAACAAAAAAAAGAGGGAAAAAGAGAAAAACAGAAAAAAAAACAAATAAAGAAAGAAATAGAGAGAGAGGAAAACGAGGAAAAAAGAGAGAGAAACAACAGATAAAGAGAGAGAAAACAAGGGAGAAGGAAAGAAATCGAGAGAAAAAGAGAGAAACAACAGAGAAAGAAATCAAAAGAAAGAAACAAGAGAGAAAAAAATAAAGGTAGAGAGAGAGAGAGAGAGAGAGAGAAAAAGGTAAATTAAAAAAATAAAAAAAGAATTATCACACTTTTTTTTTTTATCGGGGCACATTACATCAGAATTAACGAAATATATCTCAAAAATGACTAAAATTAAAAACCATTTGGTGGTTGACCGCACTTGCAAGAAGCAGAAGAAGCCACAACCAAAAAAAACTACGTAAAAGTCTCTGTGTGTGTGCGCGACACAAATTTCCAAAAAAAAAAAAAAAAAAAAAAAAAATATAGTAAAACAAAAACGAAAGAATTTATTTTAACCGAAATATGCAAAACCCGTCATTTCAGGTTCTTACATCAACCTACCAACCAACCTACCTACCAACTTAACAACAAAAAAAAACCAGAAAAAAATTTTTTTTTTTTGTCCTTACTACTATTGTCATTTTAAACTCATTACACGATTACGTAAACCATCTTTATTAATTAATTAAATTAATTAAATTAATATTAAATCGTTACGTAACAACATTAGTAATAATAATAATAATAATAATTTTCGTTTTTTATTATACAAATAAAAAAAAACAACCAAGTAAAATTTATTTTTAAAAAAAATGGCGCGAAAAAAACAATAAATTTAATTTTTAAAAAAAACTTTTCGGGTTTATTTTTATCGGTTTCTGTCTGTTGTTTCGCGTGTAAATAACAAAATAGAAAAAAAAATTCTTCTTCCACGTAAAAATAAGAGAGAGAGAGAGAGAGAGTAATTCGATACCATTGATTTTTTTTTAAATTTAAAACACTAATTAACAATAAAAATCTAATTATAAACGTTAATTTTTTTATTTTTAAATTTGTGTTGGCAGAGTTTTGTAAAAGAAGGGTTAAAAAACTAAAAATTCATTCTTCTTTCTTTTTTAATAAATCAAGTAGGGGGAAAAAGTGACATTAGATACAAAACTTATCGAGTAATATAGTCTAAAACCACGATTTCCATAGAGAAAAATCCTTTCGTTATTCGAACAAACTCAAAATAAAAATTATTTTTGGCATTCGAAATTAAAATTATTTAAAATGACGTGGTAATAACCGCATCGTTTATTTATTTATTTATTTTTTTGTAATTTTCCTCCTAATTGACACGACTAAAAAAAAAATTTTCTTCAACGGTTTTTTTTTTTTTTTTTTCACGAATCCGAAATAATAATAATAAAAAGCCGAAAAGTCGAATCCCGATGTGATTTCATTAACTACAACTAATTCCACGTTAAATTCATTTACGACCGATAATAATTTCCATGACCCGAATTTTCCAGACAATTATCCAGGTATCACACATTTAAACGCACATTTTCGCGCCAAAAAAAAAAACACCGCGTTTAATATTTTCCCTAATAATAATTATAAATCCATTAAATACGAAACGTTAAGAAAAAAATTTCCCGACAAATTTTAAATTTTCTACTTTTTTTTTTATACATGCGACACTCACTCATATGTAAATAATGATGATAATGATAATAATAATAATAATAATAATAATAATAATAATAATAATAATCGTAACAGTAATGATGATAATAATAATAACACGGTAGGAATTTTTTTTTTGTTTAAATTTATTTTCACTTTAATATCGTCGTAGAGACCGACGCCTTTTAGTAATTTCTATTTTACGTGATGACGTATTTCCGGTTGTTGTTTTTTGGTCAGGGGTGGCGGTGATGGTGGTAGCAGGGGGGAAAAGTTCGTACGTAATTAAAAT